TACTTTGCTGAATTCTATTAATTTAGTTGTGGATACATTTTTAATTTTGAATTGAAGATACAAAATAAATAATTTCTTGTAACTACTTTCTGTTAAATCATTTATAGTCAAATGATAATAAATGCTCCAAAGAATGATATATATATATATAATTAGTTATTTAATTTGAGAAACAAATACAAGAGAAAATAGTTTGTTACAATGCAATTAATGCCTACCAATTTTAGACTTTACACAGCTAACCCTCATAATTAATTTTACTTAGCAACTTATTTTTTCATTTGTTTTTTTCTTCTATTTTTCTTGAAAGTTTTATAAGAAATATACATTTAGAAGAAAACAAAAATGCGTAAGTAAAAATATACATTGTTGTTATTTATGCATTGTTGTTTGGGACAATTGCAAAAATGTCATTTTTTACAGGTACATTTTCAAAAATGCCACTGTGGATTGTCCATTTGTAAAAAGACCACTAATTATGAATTTCTAAATCCTAAATCTTAAAATTTTAATTCCTAAAAAATGTTTTACCTCTAACAAACCCTTAACACTCAAACTAAAACATATAGAACATAGTTAACTCAAACATAAATGATATAATAAGTAACTAATTTTTAAAAAGTGCATTTTTACAAAGATTTAGAAAAAGTGACATTTTTAAAAAATGGCATATCAAAAATGGCATTTCTCAAAATTTCTCTTGTTGTTTTCTTCTAAATATATATTTCTTATAAAATTTCAAGAAAAATAGAAGAAAAAAACAAATGAAAAAATAAGTTGCTAAGTAAAATTAATTATTGAGAGTTAGTTGTTTAAATTCTAAAATTGGTAGGCATTATCAGTATTGTAATAACAAACTATTTTCTCTTGTCTTTTTCCTCCAATCAATTTAACTAATTATATATTTCCTTCTTTGGAGCATTTATTGTGATTTTACTAGTAGAAAGTAGTTACAAGAAATTATTAATTTTGTTTATTCAATTAAATTACAAACATATCCACAACTAAAATAATAAAATTCAGCAAAGTATTATTTGTGTTGTCTATGTTGTCATTTAATTACCTTTTTATTAATATATATATTAATTTTCTAATGGGAAGTTTCTTAATATCTTACTAAAAAATTCATACTTTAGACATTTTCTTAGAATTAGTATGGTTCATTTTTAAAATATAAGAATTTAATCATTTTATTAAAAGTCTCAGTTATTCAATTAATTAATGTAGGACAATTAATATATTAAACTTGTTCTTTGAAAATATATATTAAATTTATAATCAATTTTTTTATAACAAATATGTGTGACTTTTTATTTTATAAAAGCATCTCGAAATTCTTCAAAAACAAACTAAAGGTTTTATTAGACATTTCTTTTATGTGATGGCATTGCCATAAAAATATCGAAAAAATTGCATTTCTTAAAGTGTTATATATATATTTCTTTTCCCATGTGCCGATTTTTTTAGGGTTTTCATACAACTTCTACTCGTTTTTAGATTTCATTCAATCTTCTTAAATTTTTCATCTTTCTACACTCCATCGAACGTTTCTCTTGATTTCATTCTCAAATCTATTTTGGTTTATGAAATTTTGTTTTCCAAATCATATTACTCATCGCACGAAGTTTGCGTGGTGATAAGAACAATATACTAGAAAAACCATCGTATATCTCTTAACCTGATGTCTTTACCATTGATTTCGACCGCTAGTTTTGATCGCTATCATCATAATCGAACATCCTTGATCCCATATAGAAATTTCGATGATTCCAATGGAGACATAAACACTACTCAAAATCATTCAGTTTTCAAGCCTCCCACCAAAATACCCTCAATAAATCCATTCATGGATACCACTTCCCCTTCGAGCACTGAAGCTTTTAAGGAACCAAATTTTGATGATACATTAAATGACCAAGATCTTTTCCGTATGGTGTATAACACTTCACTCCCAAGATCTGAAGGTATTTCCAGCTTTTCGCAAGGTTTACAGCAAAATACTTTGTGGAATGGTTCTATGCATTACCAAGGAATTATCAGTGGTAGTCATGACCCATGCCTTGATAAGTTAGTGCTTGAATCTCAATCGTTAGATCCACTGTTGAAAGTGAGCGACAAAAGCACAATCAGATATACCATTGGCAAACATCAAGACCAAAAGATGTTCAAAATCAATCAGAAACAGCACAAGATAATGAAATTGAATGGAAGCAAGCCCTCGAAGAAATCTAACTCTATCAAAGGACAGTGGACTTCTGATGAGGATACGTAAGTTTTAACATATATTTTAGTTTTCTAACAATATAGTTATATATATATATTTTAATTGGTTTTATCGTCAAACATTATATTATAAATATTATAAGAAATTGTGTTGAGATTTTTATAAGATTTTTATGTATTTGGGACATCTATACAAAAAAATTATATAGGAAATTAATAGATTGGATAAAGCAAAAGAACGAAGAAATGGTTAGACATCGCGAAAATACTTGGAGGACGAGCAGGAAAACAGTGCAGGGAGAGATGGCACTACAGTCTATGTCCTGACATTAAAGTGTTTATGGTGTTTATTAACTTTGTGGTTTTGTTTTCGTGCCTAACTTTGAGATTAATTCTACTATTTAATATATAATTGTAGAAAGATGCTTGGAGTGAAAGAAGAATAGCAGATACTGATTGAAACGCACAAAGTGATTGGTAAGCAATGGACCAAGATTGCTCAGAAACTCCCGGGACACACACAATGATACCATGTTAAAAAAACCTTTGGAACACCACAGAACGCCG